TAAATATTAAAGCTAATTTAATTTAATTAAATTTGATGCATGCAACAAATCTTTACCAAGAAATACGTTTATGGTAAAATTTTGGAAAATGGGCGTGGCACCGCCCACTTATGCTCACATATATGTATATCGGTAACCGATCTACCAATTTGTACCAAACTCGGTATGATTATTGTGCTTGCCACATAAAAGCAAAACGTTGAAAATTATTCAAATCGGACTAAAATTACGGCCGCTTTTCATACAACGGTAAATTTCAGAAATGCTTGAAACTGCAATGTTTCGAAATTTTAAGACGCGAATTTACTCAAAATTGATACATCCTAGCCTAGATACCATCTAGCGGTAGGTTTCGGAAAGGTGAAAAAAGATATATTTAATACTTGCGCCGGGTATTTAATGCTCGGTTCCGCCCGAACTTAGACTTTCTTACTTGTTGAGCATAACTTCTTTTTGCTTAGGCGGCCTGCGGCCGCACTTAGGGATTATAACCCTCACAAAGTAGAATTCTCTTTCTGAATCGCGAAGAAAATGAGGAGAAGTATTTTTGAGCAGAACTTCTTTCTACGTAGGCGGCCTGCGGACGCGCTAGGGATTATAACCCTAACAAAGAGGACTTCTCTTTCTGTTTCGCGAAGAAAAGAAGCAAAAGTATTTTCGAGCAGAATTTTTTTCCTGTCTTGCGAAGAAAAGGAGCAGAAATATTTTTGAGCAAAACTTCTCTCTGCGTAGGCGGCCTACGGCCGCGGCTAGGGATTATAACCTTCACAAAGTCGAATTCTCTTTCTGTGTTGCCAAGAAAAGAAGCAGAAGTATTTTTGAGCAGAACTTCTTTCTACGTAGGTGGCCTGCGGCCGCGCTTAGGGATTATAACCTTCATAAAGTAGAATCCTCTTTCTGTGTTCCGAAGAAGAGTAGCAGAGGTATTTTTGAGCAAAACTCCTCAACAATGAAAGGGACTATACTATAATTATGACGTATAATTAAATCATACAATCAATAATTATCATTTTACCGAAAAATTACATTATCTGCGCATATAATACTCATAATTGCTATTAAAGTCATAATAAAATGGCACTTATCACATTCGCCTTTATAATATTCTTACGCTTTTAACATCTGGCAACATATTTTGAAACGTATTCTGGCCACACGTTACTCACACTTGCGGCCATCTTCGGTTCGGTCATTGTATATACGTTCATACATACATACTATTTAGTTCTCTAATGGAAAATAAAGAAATTTATAAAAGTGTTCCTCATCGTTAAACAATAAAATTAATGAAATATAAAATAGATAATCGTTCAAAGAGCTTAATTTAGTTGAAATGTGTTTTCTGCACACTTGTATTTGTTTGATATGGTTTGTTATCGTACATTTTGTTAGGTGAAATTTTCAACTTTAACAACAAATTGCTCGTAAGCTATGAGTTTCCTCGCCGTCCGGTTTTCAGTTATGTAATGTTTATGACCCCCTCTATACCCCCATAGAGTCATTTTGTTCTAAGCGTGGTGCACTCTCGCGAAGTCAACCCGCTGCCTTTTCTTTAAAACTCTTTATTTTAATAATTTTATTTTACTTGCACAGCTTGTTTACAGCCGCTTGCTGGTTGCCGAACTGTTAAATTTCGATTATCGATAACATGGCATTGAATTAGCCCCGAATGAATTATACACTGCGTGGCATTGAATTAGCCCCGAATGAATTATGAAATTTAAAATTATTAAATTTATGCAAGATAACCACATCGGTATAAAACAAATAAACAATTAGAAATGGACACTCACAAAATAAAAATAATATTCATATCTTCACATACATATACATATATTTTCATCTTTTTCTTGCGTGCGAGCGCCTTGAATTCCAAAGGCGCCAGCGCGTAAATACAACACGGCGTTGTGGCTCAATATCACGAGCGCCACCAGGCCCTTCATAGGGAATCTATAATGCTGTAGTTAAACGCATGTATATATTTATGTAAAATTCCTATGCATATGTACGATAGGAAATGCAATGTTAGCATTAGAGGTTTAAATTACACAATGAACCATATTTGTGCATACGGCCATAAAAAGGGGGTTTAACTTTAAAGAATGCCTCGCTTCACGGGAAATCCGCCGAGGAAAGGTTGCGGACGATTTTGATACATCGGTATTGTCTCAACTGTTTGTCACCATTCCATTGTATGGAGATATGTGGAAGCAATGACCGATGCCACCGCTGCGCCGAAAAGCACCATACCTCCCTGCATATTGAAGACTACGGCGATCAAAGGGAAACCACAAAAAATTACCCCGATAACGACGACGGCTCTGTCGGAGCGATTTCGCTCTACGTTTCCGACCAAACGACGTCATGGGTGCAGCAGGAAGAGGAAGAAGGGTTGGAAAAGCGGGAAGAGATAATCCCTTTACCAACCGACGACGGCTTGAAAACCTGTAGTTTTCCACCGCCGCTGCAGCACAAAACTCGTTATTTTTGTCCGCCTCGCTGGCAAACAGAAAGGGCCGCAAGACACCGACGAGGCGACCGCTCCACCCTCACCATCCAACGCATTCCACCGGATGGGTTCCGGACAGGCAGGTTAAAAACAATCGCGGTTGCAGCACCAATAATGCGCTCATTCGTAGCCATCGCGCCGACCGCAATCGTATGGATCGAGTCTCTTGCGCCCCCAGCAGCACCATCGACAGGGACCTAGCACGTGAGCGACCCGACGATAGCGAGGCCTTTTCAATTTATGTCTTGCAGATCCAGGATTCTATCGGGCCACCCCCACTCGACTAACACTCGGCGCTGATGTGTACGCTCAGGTTATGGTATGTGGCACTCCGCCAACAAAGATCTGCGGTTTCTTGGAGCAAGCTTACATTTTCGGTCTGATTATATTAGGGGCTCACAAAATGTGACAAAACACTTCAAATTTAGTATTTATTATTCTTCAACTCATCCCACATTTAAATAAAAACGTGCATTGAAATCAAAACCACGTCTGTTTCATTTAATCTGTTTTCTTTTTAACAATTTTTTTCAGGGTCGGTTCCGACGTGGCGAACGAAGGTCTTAGTGCAACCTGAAGCACTTCCTAGTTTTTAGATCTGTTATTATTAAAATTGTTATTTTTTCCGACATGGCAAGGTAGCTGCTTTCATAGTTAGCTTATCGCAAGGGGGCCGGTAGGTTTAGGTCTCCGACCTAAATATGCTGCACCAACCTAATTCGCGGTAAGTTATTCCGTATCTGAGTGCACACGCACATATTTAAGTTACGGCTAATATTCCAGCCGCCAACAATACGGTACGCCGCACGGTAACTGAGTTGAGGGGAAGCTCAACGAAGGTTACGGTTCGGTGGGCTCAAATCCTTTTAGTATGTTGGCACTTTTTCAGCAAAGGTAAACTTATCAACATCACCAGTTAAATATTCACTGTTTGATTAAACATTTTTTATTAGCAAGTAAACCACCTTTATTACTATTATTAAGTATTAAGCACTAAAACACTGTTGTTTTCATTTCTATTTTCCTTACGTGTGAGCGCCTTAAATTCCAAAAGCGCCAGCGCGTAAATAATATTAATAATGTTTCTTTATAACCATTACTTCTGATAAACTATACGACTATTCAGCCCTTCCTTTTTTGGAAGTCGGTTAAAAATGCATACATACATT